TATCACTGAGGCTTAGGTTTGAATTCTTGATGTAAGGAGAAAATCTGGCAAGTATGTCCAGGCCAGCTGTGCTGTACTCAGGGTTCAAAGTTCCCAACTTGGGGTACCCAGAGGACATAGCACTGACTCCAAAAATTCCTTAATCTTGTTGGTGACTTGTGTACACTTCATTGCCATACAGCAGAAATGGGAGCTGCCTTCCTCAACACAGATTCTGTACCAACTTGGTTAACCTCTTGGTGTCAGTGGTGGTGATGCTGAAGGTGACTCCCTTGAGCCAGAGACCATGAAGAGTCTCTGGGAGAAGGGGCTCTCAGTCTTGGCCCCATCCCTGCTAGCCTTTACAAACAATTCAACCAGCAGTTGTTCTTCAGCCATGGTTGCACTGGCGTCCAGAAAGTTGCCTTCGTTGGGGGAAAGGGAAGGAACCAGGCGCAGGAAGGCGGGTCTCACAAGCAAAGATTCTCTCCCCAAGAGCTAGGATTGTCCCCTCAGCTCAACACCAGCCTGGTCAGACTCACTTACTTTAGACTGGCCCTCCACCAGTCCAGTAGACCCTATACTCAGCTCCTTCAGCTCCCAGAAGGGCCTGCATCAAGGAGCACTTCTGTTTTAGTTGAATAAAAAAAAAAAATTGACTTTCATCTTAAATAGACATGATAAAAAAGAAAATTCCTGTCTGAAAAAGTCCATAATATGAACCCACCCTTTTACTATCCAGTCCTGCAATATTACCTTGAATATTTTTGGCCTAAGCCAATCTTTCAGTGTTTACTTTAAGTATGCAAATAATACAAGTTCTTTTAAAAATGCTACTTACATTCCAAAAAAGCAATCATTCTTATTGTCTACTGCTGTCATTCCAGACTTAAGGGTTCTAATCCAAATTCATGGGTGACTAGAAAGACACCACCCACATCCTATTGGATTCATTATGAATAACACAAAGATAATGACACTTATAATTACTGTCAGGTAGCTTGCCACCTTCTTAGAAGTTCTAAAAAGCAAGATGCCCAAATGTGTACTCATAATTGTTTATTAGTCAGTCAGTTTACAAATCAAACTATAGCTTACTCAAAATAAAATGGCACTTTTTCATTTTTTTAAAATTTGAGTTACAGTGTTTCTAAGTTAAACACAGAGTATAAATACTGATATGGATAGTGTAAATATCTGAGCTATTTGCATGAAAGTACCATAATAAATAGAAGTCAACCTATAACAAGTTTTGTTTTAGGAGAGTTATTGTTTAAATTCATATTGAAAGTAGTCAAATCCCACTAAATAAGGAGATTATTTTCTTTATAAGGCAAATTGTGTGTTTCAGTGAATATTCAAAAAGGAACACTTCAAATTACTTATCTTAAGATTTTGGAAACTCTTAAGATAAAGAATAAAGTCCTATTTACTCTCTGTTTTCTCATTCCCCTTTACATTATAGATTAAATCTCATAATACTGTTTTGAATGTTATCTTCCTTCCTTCTGACTCCACATTCTATTTTAACATAGTAAATTTGTTAACAATTTGACACCCAAAACTCTATGCCTATTTTTATCTATCTCCATAGCAACTGCATTCAGCACAATGTAAAACATTAAAGACAACAACATATAACTAAGAAGAAATTGTTTTCTAAGTACTCTGAGACAATCCAGTATATCTGCTATAAATTCCAGCAACAACTTTGTAATGGAATTGACTATGCCCTTTAAGTAATCACTCTTTTGGGAGAAATGACATCAAGTTGACATATAAAATTGTGCATTATTCTATAAGATTGTTTAAGATATAACAGTAAAGACAAAACAGTTGCCCAGGCTGAAATCCAAAGGGAAGGCAAATCATAAGGGCAGACGTGGCTTCCCCAAGACTTGAGCAAAACTATCACAGTACTTTCCCAAGGAGCAATTCCCCTTCCCAGCAGGAAACTCATTGGAACACCCCTGAGTCACTTGAAAATTGTTAGGCGACATCAACCCACCTCCATCATAAGCAATTTCAATATAAACATTTAAAGCCACATATGATGATTTCATAGGTCTGAATGTCCTCTTGATAGCTAAAGATGACAGATTACAAAGGAGATTTAGCCAAGTGACAGCAACCCTGTAGATGCCTGCTAGGAGGCTGACCACCACAGCATAGTAATTTATAGGTTTATATGTTGGTTTCTCCAGCACCATTATAATGTTCAAGTATTGTAACACATCAAACATTACAACACAACAGACTGCCAAAAACTTATACAAACAACAAAGCCACACTCTCCTTATTGAATGATTCAGATCATTATAATGAAAATATCATCAATAAGGATCATAAACTGAAACTAATACTAAAGAAAACAAATGAAGCTGTACCGTGTAGAAAAAAACAACAACCATAAGATTCTGACCTAGAATAATAAAATCCTATGGTTGGAAAGAGTCTTAGAGGCCATCTAATTCAGCAACCCACCTGATGCAAAAGTTTATTCTACAATGTTCTTGAAAGTGGCCTCTCCTTGTTCCTGTCCAGTGCCCAAGAGTTGCTTTTGACTCAAAATTTGCCTTGCTGAAACTTCCACTCATGACTCTGTTTTCTAGAGCTTTTAAATTAATTAAATCTCTGTGCTAACTCAGTTGGTTTTTTAAAAATACATAATAATAAAATATCAAGCACTTATTGAGTACTTACTTTGTGCCAGGCATTTGACTAGGTATTTATATGAACCATCTTACTTACTTGGTGATTATAAGTGTAAACTCTGGAGCCAGACTGAGTTAGAATTCTGGCTCTGCATTTACTAGCTATATGACATTAGAAAAGTCATTTAGCCTCTCTGTTCCTCAACTATAAAATAGGAATAATAATAATAATAATGTCTAGATGATATGGTTGATAGGAAAATTCAATGCTATATATGTCAAGTGTGTAGAATAGTGCTCAGCACATGATAACGACGGTAAAAATTTTGTTGTGCTACTCATTGTTATTATTATTTCCTTTATAATCCCATTCTACAGGTGAGAAGGCTGAGGTTTAGTAAAGAGTTTAGACAACATAAGTCTGGGATTTTCAATTATCATTGTTCATTCACATCTGGAAAAGATTATGCAATCTATTTGCTATTTCTCATGTATTTGTAATTCCATTTAGCTTTGTATATTAGTTTATTTAAATTGATTCCATGTTGGGAACTTTCTTCAGTGTTTGATTTGTTCTAAGAGTTTGGAACCAAGAGTATGGCTTCTCCAAAAGAAGCATTCCTAATATTATATTCGCTAATGAAATAAAATCATCTAGTGTTAAACCAGAGATGGTAAATGTGCGTTTGGAAAACTATATTATAAAATATATCAAGAATCATAAAATCATTCAAAGCCTTTGATTCAATGATCCTACTCATGGAAAGTTATTCTAGGGAAATAATAGAACAAAACAAGTGAGTTACAAAACCTCCAAATCTTCCTTACAGCATTATCAGCTTCATTCTCCAAAATATATTAGGGGTGTAGTTAGGTAAATAAACATGAAGGGAAATTATGTAGTAATTAAATAATCATTATGAAACATGGAAGGAAGTGTATAATAAATTTTAAAAAGCACCCAAAGTTGAGTAGTTATGGAATTATCATGATATTTTTAAATTTATCTTTATTGTTGAAAGTATTACAGATGTTCCCCTTTTTTCCCTTCATTGACCCCCTCCCCCCACACCTGCCCCTTCCCCAGGCCTTCACTGCACTATTGTCTATCCATGAATTATGGATATACACAGGTAATATGTGTATTTGGTTAATCTCTTCCCGTCTGCCCCTTGTTCTGAAATTCATCAGTCTGTTGCATGGTTCCATGTCTCTATGTCTATTTTGTTTGTCAGTTTAATTTGTTCAATAGATTCCACATATAAGTGAGATCATGTGATTTTTATCTTTCTCTGACTGGCATATTTCACTTGGCATAATACTCTCCAGTCTATCCTGCTGCCTCAAAGGGTAAGAGAGCCTTTCTTTTTTATAGCTGCATAATATCCCATTGTGTGAATATACCAGTGTTTTTTTAATCATTCATTTACAAATCTTAGCTATTGTGAATAATGCTGCTATGAACGTAAGGGTGCATGTATTCTTTCTGATTAGTATTTCTGGATTCTTAGGATATATTCCTAGAAGTGGAATCACTGGGTCAAATGGTAGTACCATTTTTAATTTTTTGAGGAAACTCCATACTGTTTTTCATAGTGGTTGTACCAGTCTGCATTCCCACCAGCTATGTACTAGGTAGGGTTCCTTTTTCTCCATATACTTGCCAGTACTTGTGATTTGCTCACTATTAATTTTTGTATGCTTAAAGACAAAACTGGGAGAAAATATCCCAAAATGGAAATAGTTCTGTTAAAATGGCTCACTTAAAAAAAAAAAATGTTTAATCTTACCTAATAATAAACAAACTTGAAAATTAACCATACCTCCACGACACCACCAGCCAATCAGGAGTGATATGCAAATTAATCCAACAAACATGGTGGTTAATTTGCATACACAGGCGAGGAGTGGTGGGGACGGGACACTTGCAGTCATCGCCATGGCGATGATGCAGGCATTCTGCCCCATCTCAAGTCCCTCAGGGCCTCTGGGCATCCTGGGAAGGTGCAGTTGGAGTGGAAAGAGTTGGCTCCAGGGCCTGAATGGAAAGGGGCTGGGCCAGAGCGGAAAGGCGGTGTCAGCAGCCAGGGAAAGGAAAGCCCATTCTAGCACGAATCTTTGTGCATCAGGCTTCTGATATTTATATAATAGGATACTATACTTAGTGACAATGAGCTAAAACTACATATATCAATATGAGTAAGTCTTTTTTTAAGGTTTCTTCCGTTTCTTTTCTTTCTTATTCTTTTTCTTCCTTTTATTCTTTCTCTTTCTTTTATTCCCTCCCTCCCTCCTCTTCTTCCTTCCTCCCTCTCTCTCTCTCCCTCCCGTCTTCCTTCCTTCCTTCCTTCCTCTTCTTTCTTTCCACCTTATCATACCACCAATTGAAGCAAAACTACACAATATGCTGCTGCTTCACCCAAAAGTGGTGTTTTTACTTTGACCTTTCTTCACAGCTCAGTGGGTCATTAGCAAAAGGCCCACAGAGCGCTTTAAAAGGGGTATGGATAAATCTTGACCACAAAAATCTTCAGTAAGATAGATATGACTTCATTTCATTTATACAAAGTGTTAAAACTTATAAATGCCATACCATATTATTGTTACAAACACACATACACATGTGGTAAAAGCTTAAATATCTGGATAGAAATTATAAACACCAAAATTTAAGCTAATGATTACCTCTGGGACTAAGGAGGGAAATTTACCCAGGGAAAGATTCACCAGGAAAACATATTTCATAAGCTGGTTAGAGAGTAATCTGGTTATTTAACAGTATTATCATCTACCAGTGGTTCTCAACCCATCTGAGCCGTTTATTAAAAATACAAATGTCTGGGCGCCACTACTCTAGATTAGATTCAATTGGTTTAAAGTAAGATCTGGGCATCAACAATTTGAAAAGTTCCCAGCTGATTCTAATGAGCACCTAGAGTCAAGAACTAATGTATTTTTGGTATAGCTAAAATATATAGTAATGATTACTACTAACCTTTAAAATTGCTATGTTGTTGCCTAAACCGGTTTGGCTCAGTGGATAGAGCATCGGCCTGTGGACTCAAGGGTCTCAGGTTCGATTCTGGTTGCTGGGGCACATCCCCAGTGAGGGGTGTGCAGGGGGCAACTGGTTGATGTTCCTCTCTCCTCGATATTTCTAACTTTCTATCCCTCTCCCTTCCACTCTGTAAAAAAATCAATAAAATATATTTTAAAATAAAAATAAATAAAATTGCTATATTGTTTTAGCCATAAAAATATGAGGCTATATTTATACATACATACATACATACATACATACATACATAATATCGTTGATTCTGATTAACTCAGAAAACTAGAGAACACTGCAGGTCTCTGAGCCCAGGTATCCATGGACTCTTTGCTGTCCACAATACAAAGAACCCAGCATGTGCATTATGCAAGAGTGGAAACCAAGCCAAAACAGATCAGGGAAACAGAACTGTTTAAATTGTCATGCCAGCAACAGCACAACTGAAAATGACACCCCCATAGTATTGTTTTCCCCGTAGAGTGAATTTCACAAGAGCTCCCTTGTAGAGGGAGACTCTACGCCTGCAGCTTCCTCCTCTGGGCCTCTCTCTGACTGTAATAAAGGAAAGAAGAGAAAGAAGCCCATCTGTTAGGTCTCTGCAAGCAGGCTTGTCAGATTTCCATGATGCCAGGCCAGCAGCTACAGTGGCAGAATCACCCTGTGGGCCAACAAGGAAAATAAAACAATTGCCTTCTGAAGCAATTGAGGATGGTCTCAAAGTCATGAGAAGAAGCCAAAGGAAGCTGCAGTGGCCAATGACAAACTCATCTACTGGTAGCTTCCTCAGGTAGCTAGATGAGGAAGCAGAGCCCACAAGTGTTGATGACAGGACTGCTCCACCTGCTCACCAGCTGTTCACCCTCCTAAGCCTTTCTCTCTTCTCCATTCCTTTCAGTCAGACTCTCCATGAATTTCTGTCCTGGTCTTCTATAGAGTGAGGTATGTGAAGAAGAGGACAGTAGACAGAGAAAGTCATAACTTTTGTGATAAAACAAAAACAAAAACAAAAAACAATTAGCCGAAGCAGGTTTGGCTCAGTGGATAGAGCTTTGGTCTGCGGACTGAAAGGTCCAGGTTCGATTCCAGTCAAGGGCAAGTACATTTGTTGCGGGCACATCCCCAGCAGGGGGTGTGCAGGAGGCAGCTGACAGATGTTTCTCTCTCATTGACGTTTCTAGCTCTCTATCCCTCTTCCTTCCTCTCTGTAGAAAATCAATAAAAATATATTTAAAAAAAATAAAATTAAAAAATTAAAAAACAAAAAACAATTAAATAGATAAAATATAGAAATAGTTGGGGGAAGCCAAATTAATAGAATAACTTTTATTGATTGAAATTTTGGTTTTTAGCAACTTAAAATTAGATGCCCTTAAAGAGAAAAGAAATGCCACCTTTTGATGAAAACAGTAACAAAACAGTAACTCATTTTTTTGCATTATTTATTACAAAATCTGTCATCAATGGAACCTAGGTTCTTACAGGACAATTGACACTTAAGGTCCTGTTAGTCGAAGGCCCCAGCATACCAAACTGTGGGAATATTTTTACTAAGGGACTTGAAAATTCCAGTGGGTCACAAAAGGTTAAGTAAAAGGAGACATATAGAATGAAAGCAGCACTGCTGAAATTAATTTTTATTAACTACCCTAATATTTTTAAATGGGGATATTTGAATAAAACATAAGACTAGCTAAGGAGTGCCATGTTAAAAACAGTGACTTCCTTTTCTTAGAAAAGGGAATTTGTGTCAGCAAGTGGCTCTTATGGTCCATTTGTAGGAAGAAGTTCATTAGAAAAGAGGCCTGTCATGTTTCTCCAGACTGAAGGAATAGTGGTTAATTTTGAGATGTTATGGATGAGTGAGCATATAAACAAACGTAGGAAGAAGCAGGAAGGTAAGGAATGCTAACCGCCACCGCCAATATGCCTGGCACACAATTAAAAAAAATGTATTTCTCCAAAGCTAATCATCCTAGCATCAGAAACAAAAGTTGAGGGATTAAGCTCTATTCCAAGGACAGATTTGACAATATTAATTACGTTGGTAAACAAACTCAGAAACAATAAAAATAAATCAAACCATGTTTCAGCTCCAGTGAAAAGGCAGTGTTTGCCGGAAAGGCCCCAACAGCAAGGTAAAAATCGTTTTCAAACGATTGAAAGAAGTCTAATTCTGAAGACTAAAAAACTAAAACCTCTGGAAAGGGAAGAGAATAAAACAATTTTCTACTTTAACAGATACTATAGTCCTTTTTAAAGAAACAAAAGGCTATACTGTGCTAGTGATTCTCTGGAACACATGAAGTTACCTAACAAGAATATAATGTGCCTCACATGTAATTAGTCATTTATGCAGTCATCAAGGAAGGAATGCCAAGATTTTCATATATAGTAACCTGATGTCTTCAGAAGCAAAGACCAGTCAGACAAGTTCCAGATAGAAAAATAAAAGCAAAAAGGTAGAGACTGGGCTTGCATGGAGAAGATAAAGCTTGTCAACAAAGAGGAGACATGTAATTTTTGGTCCCATGTGAATTAAAAATTCACAATCTAATTAATTTAAAATTCAACAAATCAATCAAATTAAAAACTCAGCACAAACTCTCCATTATCATTTGGAGATCACTACTTCATCCAGATCATTCTGGATTATAAAAATGACAATAATAGTTTATACTTGAGTTTCTTTCACATCAAGATATAAAATGGTTACCTTATTAATCTCATACCACAGTGAAGAAAAATTAAAAAGTGTTGAGAATATTGACAGTAAATATACACATTCTAGAAAACTGTTTTCAAATCTTAGGGCACAAGTCTTAGGTGAAAGGCCATGTATAAGTTGTTTGTCTACCTGCAATGGCATTGAATACATCTTTTGTATAATTCTTAAAATTTGGACTTCTCCAGTCTAGGGTTGTGGACAGGTAAAGATGATACATTAATACCCAATTTATATCAAAGTGGTCCATCTCAGTTCCCATTTTGAGACCCACCATCCCACCGCTAGTATTGCTTGGAGGCTGTACCTCAGTGGTGGGGACTACTAAAACAGCTCTAACTCTACTACATTCATTCATTCCTTTCCTCGTTCACTCAACATATTCATTCACTGGTGATTTCAAGGGCTGTCATGAGGGGGATATTAGCCACACCCCTTTAATTACCATCTTTTCCTACAGCAAATACAATTTTAATTTCAAGTTTCCTAATCTCCAGTCCCAACCAGATGATCACAACTAAACCATTTCTATATAAAAATTCTGGTGATACCACTGTAATCATCTTTCACAATTATTTCTTTTTTCTAAATTATTTTTCTTTTTGAAAAATAAGTTTTTTGGGATGATGTTGTTTAATAAAAGTATATAGGTCTCAAGTGTACAAATCTGTATACATCATCTGCATATTGCATTGTGTGTTTACCACCCAAAGTCAAGCCTACCTCCTCATCATATATTTGACCCTCTTTAGCCTTTGTGACTCCCCCACCGGCTTCTATTTGATAACTACCATACTGTTGTATGTGCCTATGAGTTTTTGTTTCTCTGTTTGTTTGTTCACTTGTTAATTTTCAATTTTTCATTGAACTTATTGGGGGTGACGTTGGTAATAGAACCATACAGGTTTCAAGTGTACAATTCTATAACACATCATCTGCATACTGCATCGTGTGCTCACCACCCAAAGTCAAGTCTCTTTCCGCCACCTTTTATTCCACACACACACCCCTCCTTTGCCCTCTTCCACCTCTTTCTCCCTGGCAATAATCATACTGTTGTCTGTGTCTGTTTTTTGTTTGTTTGTTTTGAGGGTTTTTGTTGTTGTTGTTTTTGTTTTGTTTTGTTTTTGCTTAATCCCTTTACCTTTTTCACCCAGCTCTCCACTCCCCCTCAAACATTTATTTTTCAGGCACTGGTCTGCCCAGGTTTTTATCCTCTGTCTGGATTATAGAGTTGGAGTAGTATCTGTTTGAACTGAGGTGGTGACAGGATGGAATTAGGAAGAGAATTCTAATTTCTCAAGATTCTTAAATAGGGAAAAGAGCTATAAAAAGGAGCCAGGGTGTAGACATTCCTAAATATTCTTAATTTAGCAAAAGGAGAACTATAAATGAAGCAGATACTTTTTAGTGTCTTTCAAAAATGATAACTAACGATTATTGAGCATGTAAATACATAAATGATTCCAGTCTTACATGCATCTAATACTTATTCTGTCTCTAATATAGAGCAGAACACTCTACAGATTAAAACATTTTCCATCAGGTTAATTGTGGCTTTACAGAGAGATGGAATAACCTGCTGAAGATAACACTACAGGATTCCCATCCTGCCAGTTTGGCCCCAGACCCTATACCTTTATCCACTATTCCACATGAGCTGTTGATGCCACTAATTTCACTTGTCCTCACATTCTGGAACCCTTTTAAATGTAATAACAATAA